AAGCCACTGGGAGCCACTGAGAAACTGGTAGCCTCCTTGAGAAGCCTCATTTGCAGGTAGTAATTAATTGATTAACCATTTCTTGAGTACCTATCACATTCTGGGGCTGATTCTAGGACCTTGGACAGCATACTGGCCCCCATAGAAGTGTCATTTTAGTGGGGGGAGGGAGGGTCACTAAGTCAACCAACAAACAAGGTAGGTAATGTCAAGCGGTAAGAAAGGCTTTGAAGAAAATAAAACAAGGTGGTGGCATAGACAGTGGCCGGGACAGGAGGTCAGAGAAGGCCAGGCCGAGGAGGGGACCTTCGGGCCAAGGAAACCTCCGTGACCAAATGGCACCAACCATGCCAAGAGCTTGGGGAAAAGAGCTTGAGCCAGAGGGCACAGCACAGACAAAGGTCCCAGGGTGGGAGCAGTGTGGTAGGTTCGGCTGGTGCAGGAAAGGGCCAGAGTGGCTGGAGGGTGGTGAGCCCAGAGAGGCGTGGTCCAAAGTGGGGTGGGAGGGGCCTGTGGGGCCAGACCACTCGGGGTCTGCCGGGATGTTATTTCCAGTGCTGCAGTGCATTAGCTAGCTATTGCTGTGTAACAAGTGACCCTGAAATTGGCAGTTTGAGACAAAACTCACTTTGGATCTCACAGTCCCCGTGGGTCAGGGACCGGGGCAGGCCTTTGCTGGGTGCTCCACCTCAGGGGCTGTCACAGACTGCAGGCAAGATGTCAGCCTGGTGCAGACGTCTCAGTTCTAGACCCGGAAGGCTCCGCTCCAAGTTCTCGTGACTGTTATCGGGATGCAACCCCTCACCAGTTGGCCATCCTCCCGTTTCCACGTGCGGGCCGCTGCAGTGTGGCGGCTCGCCTCGTCAAAGCAGCCACACCAAAGAAGCCAGGGGGACGGTCTGACGACTAGACAGAAGTTGCCGTCTTTCGTAACCTAATCACAGAAACGGCATTCGTGTCATTTTGGCCATATTTCATTCATTAGAAGGAAGTCACATGACAGGTCCTGTCCCCATTCAAGGAACACCAGCAGGTGGGGTCCAATGGGGGGGGGGTCACCTTAGAAATCTACCTGAGGTGTCTGACAGGGAGGTGACATGATCGGATGTACCTGTCGAAGGATCCCTTGGGCTTTCTTAAGCATCAGGAGGGTGAGTGGGGGGTGGGCAAGAGCGGCTGCAGGAAGGCAGAGGGGACTTCAGTAAAAGATGATGCTGGTGGGGACTCAGGAGGGGACCGTGGAGGGGCCGAGAGGGAGAGCCGAGGGGCCTTGCCCACGGGCCGGAGGTAGGGACCAGCGAGGAGGAAGCAGATGACTCCTGAGCTGGCTGTGACACGTGCCTCCTGCCTGGGGAATGACCGTGACTTTGACTCTCGGGATGTATGCTGAGCTTTTCTCCTCCTGGGAGAGACAGGGCGGCACTAACCCCGTCCTCCCCCAGCCCTCCCCAAGGTCACACATTTGCCGGATGGCTGGCCAGCGTGCGGAGCACCAGCCGTGAGCAGAGAACAGATCTCTCCGGGTGCCAGGCTGAGGGACTGACCCCACCGCCTCAGCCTCATTAGTCTGCCCACGCCCAGACCAGCCAAGCTGGGGGCGGGGCAGGGGGCGGGGCAGGGCCCGCCCACCTATAACCACAGAGTCCAGGGAGGGCTAAGGGGTGAGTCCTTGTCTGCCTTCCCTGCCTCGGGTGCGAATATGGCTCAGGACAGGGAGATTTACTCAAACTGGCCCTCACAAGTTAGGGCACCCCTAACAGATAAATTCCAGCGAGACAGACACTTACATTCATCACCTGAAGAATGCCACCCCCATGAAATGTTGACCTGCTACAGGGGAAAAGATCTGTGGCCACCATGCATTGTGACAGTCCCCCTGCCAAGCCCTCGATAGACAGCTCACTTAACCCTCCAAACGACCCAGCGGTGCAGGCTCGAGTGTGTCCCGCTTCACAGATGGGAAAACTGAGGCTGAGAGTGAACGGGAGGGCCAGGACCTGACCTGGGCCTGGCTCGAAGCCCAAGCTCCCAGCCACTACCACCGTCCTGCCTCCCGTTTAGGCACATGGAGGATTCATCTCCTGGTTCCAGGAGGGGAACTAAGGGCAGGAGCTCCTCTTCTAAAGAGTGGCCCCCGCTTGCCAGAGACGAGCAGGGCAGGGGGCACTTTCTCCGAGTTCTCACCACCCCACAGCCTAGCTGGGAGCAGAGGAGCTGAGAGTCAGGATTCAGCTGTCACGGGTGCGGGCGGCAGAGGGGGCCCCCTGGTGGTGGCGGCGAGGAAGAGCAGTGAGTGGGAACGCAAGGGTGAGATTGGGCAGTTAAGGGGCGAGGGACAGAGACACAGCTGTCCCTGAAGTGGACAGCCGGGTCCCTCAAGTGCAGCAGCCCCAGACAGAGGGCCAGAGTGCACCCCCTTTCCTGGGGGCCTGTGGGGTGTCCTTATGCCTCCTTCCTAGGTCAACCAGAGGCTCATCACGGTGACACCCACCAGTAACCCAAATGACGTCACCAAGCACCAGCCACCCTCTTATCATTCAAGTGTCTGCATGTAAATTCAGACTCCTGCATATACCACACTGGCGACCTCCTGTTCTCAATGTAGGCCCCAGGATTTGGGCTAATTTAGAAGTCGGTCTGGCAACCAAAGAAGAAAACCTTATTACTGGATTGTGTTTGCTTACAGGGGCCAGGCCCCACGTGGGGGGGATTCCCAGGGACCACCGTCCGCATCACTCTCCAAGTTCTCCCGGGGGAGCCAGGCATGAGCCACCTCTACAACAAGACGGGAAATGCTGGGGGGCTGGGGGAGCGCACGGCAGGCGGAGGGGGCAGAATCCGGCTTGGCCAACCCATGGCGGGTGCAACGTCAGCTTTGAAAACATCAGACTGCCTCGGGCACTGGCCACACCCCTGGTCTGAGCCTCTTGAATAAGAATCTCAAATGGTGTTGACTCAGAGAATAAATACAGACACAGGGCTGATGATTATCGCTTCTCCGCCTTTGGGCCAAGATCAAGTGCGGATGGAGCTCATGAGCCAGTCTTATCACCTGCAGTGTCTCCTGTCAGCCTTGTAACAGCCCCCCTTCCCTTCCCCGGGGAGGGAGCCAGGGGAGGGAGCAGGGCGCGTGGGGCCACCGGGGTGTCGGACCGCTAGTGTTCTATTTCCGGCAGCTGTCACCAGCTTGCCCGTGCGACCTTACTGAGGTCACGGCAGCGCTTCCCTTGCTGGGGGAGAATCAGAAGTGGCCGAGCTTGCATTTTCTCAAAGATTGGGAATCCTGGAAGATGGGGGGGCCTCCTTGCTCCCCAGGAACCTTGGCCATGTCTGATCCTGCTGACACTAATGTTTAAAAAAAGGCTTACCTTTGAATTCAGAGGACTCTGGGGGGACACTCACAGCAAGAAGCAAGGCGTTGCTGCCACAGGGAGATGCCCGGCCCCTTTGAGAAGAAGCCTGCGAGATCCGAACACTTTCCAGCTCCGTTTCCAGAGCCCAGTGTCTCCACGTGGGCCTCTTGCTGTGGGCAGGATGGGAGACAGGAGGCGTTTTCTCTCTGCTGTCAAGACGAGGCCATCAAGGCCGAGAGTGGTACTTCTCAATGCTTTTTATGACCAGGGGCCCCTTTTATTACTTTACTACCACACACCCCGTTTGCAAGCCCTTGCTAAGTAGATGCCGTGTGTTTGCGGAGTAGAAATTCAGCTCTGTCTTCATTCTCCAGGGTGGCCCATGAGCGCCCGTGCCCGCTCAGTACAAAAGAGCGAGGGCTACCCCGGAGTCTGCTGTGCAGAATGGCAGCGTTTACTCTGGGCGACTTCCTCCTAAAGGCCTTGCTTTCACCGGGTTTGTTTGAAATCCTGAAAAGAGTTGGTCTTCAAGGGGCCCACGGACCCCAGGCTGGGAAGTATTCCCCAGAGAGGTCCAGTGGCCCAGGGAAGGTGCTGTGGTTAGTGGTGGGGCCAGGCCCAGGGCCAGGGACCTGCCTCCCAGGCCCGGGCCCCAGCCAAGCAGCCCGCCCACTGCGCAAGGCCGCGCACACTCAGACACTCAGGCACACTTGTGCAAGACGGCAGCCCAACCGAACACATGGGCCTGGAGCCGTGGCGCTGAGGGCTCCCCCCGACCACTGCAGTGAGCCTGGGACACCAAGCCAGAGGCTGGGAAGGTGGAGGGCCCAGCAGATCACCCCAGGGTGCTCCCGGAGAGCCGCGGCAGGCAGGACCCGTTCACCCTGCCGCCCGCCTGCGCTCGGTCTGACTCTGCCTGCGTGCATCCCGTCAGCACGCGGGCACTCCCACCACTCTGGGGGGACTCACAGCACGGCTCCAGCGCCTGTCTCTTCAAGGGGATGAGGCCAGAGAGGGGGCTGAGCCTGTGCCGCTGGGGAAGACCAGGGCACACGGGGGACCCTGGAAGCGGGGGGGGGGCACACAGACAGAAGCCTCAGGAGGTCTGGCGTGGAAGCCTGGCGTGCAGGCCGGGAGAGAGCGGCAGCGCTCCGCCCCCTCTGCAGGGCTCTCTCTGACTCAGCCTCCCTGGAGCCGAGGGCTTAGCCCCGGAGGGAGGCCCAGGTTGTTGATCCGTCGGAAGGCATCAAGCCTCCCGGTACCTTCGGGAAAAATCTGGGGCTTAGCTTTGCGGCTTTAGAGTCTGCGCCTCCACCAATGCGCCTCCCTCCGAGCCCGGGGCCGGGGCAGGGCTCCTGGGGGCCTGGCGCCCAACAGCTGTTCCCTGGGTTATTTTGGTCCAGCTTATCAATTCCAGGGTGTTTGGACCGAAATAGCCGACAGCTTGGTGGCCCTGTGGGGACCTCCCCTTAGAAAAGTTTCTGAAATCGGAGGTGGGGGAGGAGGAGTTTGGCCTGGGGGTGGTGAAGAGGGAAATCTCGTGCCTGTGGCTAAAGTGGCCACGCCTCGCTGTCCCTCCGCCTGGACAGCTCCCTGGCCTCGCTCCCTTGGGGACCGTGGCTGGGAGTTTGGTGGGGGAGGGAGTGCAAGCTCAGAGGGAAGAGATCTTTTTATTATTTGGTTTCTTGACTCCGCGGTCCTCTCCGCAGCTGGGGACGTACATATGACTTTTTCCCATTTCACAGATGGGGCGCCGGAGGTCTAGAGGAGCGGAGGCGCTGGTACTGAGCCCCCCCGCCCACAACGTGGAACCCAGGCCTCCCCCGACTCCAGGCCACAGCGCCTGCCGGTTGGGCCTCCGTACACACACCAGCAGCAGGTCCTCGCCTGGTCCTGACGAGCTCCGGGCCAACACGGAAAGTGCTGACTGGCCCCGGCCTTCCTTCGGGCCACAGCAGGGGCCCTGGTAGCTGCTGGCCTCGCTGAACTCGCCTTCCTCACTGAGATGCGGGTGGGGCTGGGGGACAGGGGAAGGAAGACCAGCCACCCCAGAGTTACCCGAAGTCCCCTGACGCCCTGACCAACCCCAACCCCGCTGGGCAGCCCGGGGCGCGGCCCCCGAGAGTTTACGGGGATTGCCTTGGGCGCAGAGCCAGTGACCCGGGTTGCGCTCCCTTGGGCAACAGGGGTGGCGCGCGGGAAGCGTGCTTTTTGCATCTGGCAGGCGCCGGGGGTACCGGGCGCAGCGCCCTGGAAACCTCCAGGGTTTGGGGGCGCCCGGTAACCGAACTTAGTCATGGAGAGCTCCTGGCCGAAAGCACAGGGCGGATCTTTTATCCGGTCCCAGAAGAAAGCTGTCCGGTCCGGTTGGGGCCGCGCTGGCCGCTCGCGTCACTCCCCTGGGATTTAACAGCGGGTTAATTTCCCCGTCCCGGTCAATCCTTGGCGAGTCCCTCGCCCCTCCCTCTCCGGCTCTCCCCGCTCCGTCCCCTCCGCCTCGGGCTCCCCCAGTCCGCCCGCGCTACGCTCGGTCGCCCCCGCGCGCCCCGGCGCACGCCCTCCCTGCCTTGACCGCCCTCAGTCTCCCAGCGTCGGGCCGCCGGGCCCCGCGCGCAGCCCCGCTCCCGGGCTCGTCCCGAGAGCCGCGCCCGCGTCGCCGCGGCTGGCGCGGATCCCCGGCCATGCGCCCCTGCACCGCCCCCCGCGCCCCCGCGGGCGCCGCCGCCGCCGCCGCGCTCCGGCTCTGCAGCCTCCTGCTGCTGCTCCGGCCCGGGCACGCGTGCCCCGCGGGCTGCGCCTGCACCGACCCGCACACGGTGGACTGCCGAGACCGCGGGCTGCCCAGCGTGCCCGACCCCTTCCCTCTGGACGTGCGCAAGCTGCTGGTAGCCGGCAACCGCATCCAGCGCATCCCCGAGGACTTCTTCATCTTCTACGGCGACCTGGTCTACCTGGACTTCAGGAACAACTCGCTGCGCTCGCTGGAGGAGGGCACTTTCAGCGGCTCGGCCAAGCTCGCCTTCCTCGACCTCAGCTACAACAACCTGACCCAGCTGGGCGCCGGCGCCTTCCGCTCGGCCGGGAGGCTGGTCCGACTGAGCCTGGGCAACAACCGCCTGGCGGGAGTGCACGAGGCCGCCTTCGAGACCCTGGAGTCGCTGCAGGTGCTGGAGCTCAACGACAACGACCTGCGCGGCCTCAGCGTGGCCGCCCTGGCCGCGCTGCCGGCGCTGCGCACCCTGCGCCTGGACGGGAACCCGTGGCTCTGCGACTGCGACTTCGCCCACCTCTTCGCCTGGATCCAGGAGAACCCGTCCAAGCTGCCCGGAGGTGAGCCGGTGCGGCTGGGCGGGGGGCTGGGCAAGGAGGGGGAGCGCGAGCGGGAGGGAGCAGCCCAGGAGCCCGGGGACTCAGGTGGATCCTGGAAGAGGTCTGGGTGCTCGCGAGCGCCGGCCCTGGAGGACCGTGGCTCCCCGGTGTACCCCCCCCCCGCCCCGCCCCGCATGATCCCAGCCCTCCCAAACTTTTCCTGGGACTCCGCTGGGGGGGAAAGGGGGCGGGGAGGGACACACCCGGATTCTCCACCGTTTCTGGGTCCTGCTGCTCCAACAACTCACTTTGCAAAGTTAAGAATCGGCCATTTTTTTTCTGACACCCGTGACCGACATCATCTCGTGGGCCTCTGTGTCCTAGTACTGGTGGGCGGGGGGTATCGGACAACCCCTTGAAAGTGGAATTCACCCTCCCACGTAGGGAAGAGCTCAGCGCGGTTCTCTCCGCCCTGAATGCGCAGGCAGAGCCGCCTGCAGTTGTAAGAACTCTCCAACGGCCTCCAGAGGCTGAGCGGCGCTGGCTGTTCTGCGGGAAAGGGGTGAGGGTATTTCTGGTGGGGAGTCAGGGTCGCTCGCCCAGAGCCAGTGGTGGCAATGAGAGTCTGTGGTTCTGTGGCTTTTCAGCCCAGAAGTGAAACCGCTGACCAAAAACGTGGGCTGGTGCATCCTTAGCTTCCTCCCTGGGTGCTGTTCTGGTGGTGACACGGACGTGCAGATCCACCTGCAGAAGGGAACGGAGGGACTCGGCAGTCAAGGGGCCCCATGAAGGCCGGTGGGAAGGAAGCAAAGGCAACGCTGGGAAGGAGGGGCCCTCAGCTTCCACAGGGACGGGCCCCAGACTGGGAACAGGAGGAGTGTCCTTACCCGCAGGGGACCCCAGCCTTCCACGGGCGGGCATGTGAGCGTGGGACCCAGCAGCGACCTCCAGAGCCTGGCTCCACCTCCGGCTTGTCCCCGAGGCTTTGGCAGAGGAGGACCCAGAGCTGTGTGGCACAGGTCATACAAGGTGACAAAGGCGGGGAGTTAGCTTTCCTGCATCCTCTTCTCCATATTCTGAGCATTCAGGATGCCGCTCCTCCCTGCCCTGGATTCCTGCGTTCACTCGTTCATTCCGCACTTGACCAAGCACATGCCGCAGGCCGGCCGATCACTCCTCAGCAGACGCAGGCCCCTCCGCCGGCACTTTAAGCCCAGGCAGGCTGCCCTCCCCTATGAACAAGCCCTCCAAAGACCTGACCTGCAAGGTGCAGAGCCCCCCACCTTCAGACTTTGCTTTCGCTCACCGGCCTTGGCTGCCCAGACCCTCCCCACCAGGAGCTGCCTTGGGGACAGGCTTGTCCCAGGGCAGACACATCACTGTGGAGTGGGGGTGTGCCTTGGTTTGGTGGTTCCTGCCTTTGCTTCTTGGTGGTGGCGTCGGCATCATGACCCGCCCCCCCCACCCCGCTGTCCTCTGAGCTGAGATAATCGGCTCTCGGTGTCATGCTCGGGCGGGCGGGCTAGGTGTCACAGGGTCAGGGTCAGGGTCAGGGTCAGAGTCTGTGGCTTTCGGCCTCAGTTCTGCTGTGACCTTGAACAGGCCGCCTCTCCTGCCGGCCTTCCTTCTCTCATCTCAGAAGTCCTTCGTTGACCTCTGAGGTCCCTCCGGGGCCCTTGATGTGGAGTCTCAAGACACACAGGCTCGAGTCCTGCCTTGCAACTGGGTGGCTCTGGGTGGGTCGTTCAACTTTCCCTGAGCCTCGTCTTCCTCCTTGTGAAGCCGGGACGTGGAAGGCCGTGAAGTTAGGCGTCTGACCGGCTGATTTCCGGATACAGTGGGTGAGAGGAAAGAGCGGTGCGAGGGTAAAATGCCATTTCTCCTGCTGGCCGGGGTCCTCACGGAGTGCCCACCAGTTACATCTCAAACCCCACCTGCCTGCCAGGCCCCACTCTTGGCTCCCTGGGGGTCCCTGGGGGTCCCGGCCCCGGCTCCTTGCAACCGACCTTTCCCTTTTCTGATGGCAGACACTTGAGCGCCTGGTTTGGTCTGAGGAGGAGTGGGGAGTCATTGTCACGCTGACAAAATAAACAGCGGTTCAGACAAAGGGACAGACGCTGACACCCCGTCTGGAGGTCACGTGGGTCCTTTCTCCCGGTGACTCCAAGGTGACCCTGTTTCTTTTTCTTTAACAACGAAAGCAATGCTCCGGTTTCTCTGCGGAAGGTGAAAATCTTTCTCGCTCTCTAAACAACGAAAGCAGTTTTCTGTCCTCGGGCGTAGAATAACAGGCTCCGTGTAGCCTCGGGAACGGTGGGAAGGTATCACAAAGAAATGAAAAGTAAAAGGGAAAAGAAAGAAAACTACCCAGAATCCCACCACTATTGAAGAGTTTTCCTATTTAATGAGGCTTCATTGTTAGGCACGTATATGTTTTTAAACACACTGATGCTATGTTATGCATCTTACTGCGGATGCGGTGTCTGTTGTTGAGCTGTGAGAGTTCCCTGTGTTTGCAGATCTTGGAACATCTAACTTCTGAGGGCCCTGTCTCAGGTCATTTCATCCACCGATCCATCGAAGCTGTCTCCCGTGGATGGAAGCGTGGGGTGTTGCCTTTTATTTTTTTGTCCACAAACGACGCTGAACTGAGCACCATCCCACACACACCTGAAGCTCATGGAAACCGCTGCCCATTCCCTGGGGGGGCGGGGGGTGTTCTGAGGCGGGAGCTCGGGGTGGAAGTCTCTGTGTATTTTGAACCTCGGGGTGCATTTGGCCCCATGACACCCCAGACAGGGGGCACCGCTGGCAAACGGAGAGTGCCTCCCCCCCTCCCCCGTGCCCACACCTGCCCCGGCTCCGCGCAGCACTCCTGGTGGACGTCTGACTGGCCGAGCGGCCACGTGTCCCTCTTGCTGTGATGGGTGTCGCGTGTTCGGCCGCCTGCTGAGCGAACGTGTTGCATTTGTACCCCAAAGATTCTTGTTCCCGGCAGAGGTTGACCGAGGTCTCACTCCTGCCTTTGACAGGCCCGTACATGCCCCCTGGGCCCCAGGCCACTGCATTTTAAATTTGTCTCTTAATTGGAGTTGAGTCCCAGGGTGTCACCTTTCTCCCAGTACCTTGTGCCCAGGGCCAGGTGTCGATGTTTATAGGTGCTGTGGCCTGGCGTTCCGGCGGAGAGGCAGCTGCACACCTGACCCCAGGCTGCCCCCTCTGCCCTGTTTGCTCCCAGAGAGCCTGCTCCCCAGTCCTGCTGTTCCGTCCCCAACCCCGCCTCTTTCCAAAAATGTCACCTTCGTCCTGTCACTCTGTCAATTCACTCAGAGGGCGGCCTTACTGCTGGCTACAGGGGACAGTGGGCCGCCTACCTTCCTGCCCATCCAGGACAGCCCGAGCACCCAGCTGGGGGTTTGTTCTGGGGAGGCCAGTACTACTGTGAGCTAAAGGGGACCACTTGCCAGGTGGCCAAGATACCCGAAGGGTTAAGCCCTTTCTGCCGAGTGTCTGTCCCATCCCTGCTGTCCCAAACCTTGGAAGGCTGCTCCACCTTCGGGCAGCGGTACCTTGATGACCTCCGCAGCATGTGGGAGGCAGAGGCCGGAGCCCAAGTGGCCAGGAGACAGAAGCGAGTCCCGTAGAAAAATGACTGGAAGGATGTGCGTCTAAGTGGTGGTGGCGATTTTATTTTGTTCACGATCAGCAGACTTTATTTTCTGGAGAAGTGTTAGGTTTATGGGACACTGAGCAGAGGGTGCAGAGTTCTGGTGCCTCCCCTCCACGCCGCTCCCCCAAAGACCCCCTATTATTATTGGCATCTTGCGTTATCCTGGTCCTTTGGTTGCAATGGATGAGCCAGCATTGATACATTTAATTAAAGTCCCGAGTTTACATTATGTTCACTCTTTGTGATGTACATCCTGTGGGTTTTGGCCAGTGGATACTGTTGTGTGTCAACATCACAGCATCGTACGGAATAATTTCACGGCCCTAAAAATGTCCTGCGCTCTGCCTCGCCCCTCCCCTCACCTGCCACCTGCCACCGGGGACCCCTCCGGGCAAGCGCTAACCTTTTCTCTGTCTCCATAGTTTGGCCTTTTCCAGCATGGCATATAATTATTTATTTATTTATTTATTTTTGCTACTGTGTGCTGCTTGACACAATGGACAGGCATGGTGTCCGCCCCCTCCCACTGTTTTCTAGTGCAGCACGCACCTGCTCCGGGCCTCTGGCCCTGCATCGCTTGGGCCTCCGTTTCCATGGGCACCGCTCCTCTCTGACTCCGTCCTGCCTGCCTCCCTCTTCCAAGGACCCTTGAGACTTCACTGCACACCCCCCCCCCCCCGGGACAGTGCAGGAGGAACTCCTCGTCTGAAGATCCTCAGCTTAGTCACAGCTGCAGAGTCCCTTGTGCCACATAAGGTGACACATCCCCCCCATACCCCCAGCCCCGCATTCTGGGGATCAGAATGGGGGCATCTCTGGTGGGGGGAGACATTATCCCTGTCAGGCCTGTTTCCCCACCTGTGAGAGCAGAGGGCCAGGTGACCCGGGGTCCTCTTTACCTGCACAGGTTGTTCCTCATGACACCTCCCTGCAATGTCTCAGCCTGAGGTCACTTCCCAAGAACCCACAGCTCTGGCCCCAGTGACGACAGTTGCTGCAATGCCAGTGCCCCTGAAAACCTCGAGGTGAAGGTGACTGCCCCCAGGATCACATGCCTGCCCTTGTCCCCTGCCGCCAGGAGAACCAGAAATATAATAACAACAACAACGACCACACCCAAAAAACCTGTTCCTGACTTCCCAGGAAAATCAGAATTGCTTTTGTGCATAAATTATTTCAGAATCATTCGGGGTCACAGAGAAAACCGTACGGGGTGGAGGGGATGTGCCGGCTCTCACAAGGAAATGCCCTGGCGTGGTTGTCACCAGCAGTACAGTTCGGGGACCTGCGGCCGTGGGGAGCAGAGAGACCACTGGGCAACCCCCGAGAGAGGCGGCCTCCCGCGTGACAG